CGTCGAACACAACGCACATCCACGTTGATTATTTAATGCTGTTCTTGTTTGTTCATTAATATTGTTGTTGTTTGTTCATACATATTGTTGTTGTTTGTTCATAGATATCAGACAACGTGTCACAACCAGCACTCCACAGTCTACCGTTAAGCTATTTTGGGCGGTGAGGGAAGTGACCCAATTTTAAACGGACACGTTTGTTTCCATTACACAGTACAACAAAAGCTAGGGTTCTCAACGTCCAATTTTTTGGCTTTTACAATATATATTGTCAAGGGTATACTTGACCAAAATGAGTCGATCGATGCATTCATGGTTTCATCCATTCATTCCATTTATCTAATTTGCAAATCCTTTTGTACGGATCTGCCATGTTTAGAATTACACCCAACACGCATGGAAAGGAGTGTGTCTCATTAAAATGCATTGGATATGTTTGTTGTTCCCCGTATCCAGCGTTGTGCGTCAGATGCAGATAGTGGCGACGCTCATGATATTAACACGGTATACATTCCCGATCAATGCCCCCTTCCGCGCTGAAATGTGCCACATTTGTAGATGCACACGTGATATGTTCTTTTGTCAGTCCGCAGCCAGATGAGGGTTATTTGAACCCGACTTCACCACGCTTGTCAGTGCGGGTTTGTCGAAGGGCATAGTTCTGGATTTTGATCCGCTGCCCTCTGCTGACAGCGCAGTCTCGCGGCAGCCTATAACACCTGCGTTGTTCGTGGTGGGGTCACCCATCAGTGGTGTTGTTTGCTTAGCTTCTGAGATCCGACGAGATGAACACATGTTCGTCACGGGCATTCCACATTACGCGCTACCAGGTGTAACTAACGTTCACGCTTGTTCAGTGCTGTTGCATACTGCAGATATTTGGAGTTAGGCAATGGGTTTTAGTTGAGGTATTTGGCTAAATTTTACCGTGTCCACAATATACATTTGTAGTACATATATTTATACCCATTTGAAAATCAACTGCTGAATGAAGGCCAATCTACATTGTCTCAATCATGGCCATACGTACTTTACCACAATGGTTGGTGTAGGTTGATAAACGGAGGCCTCCGTCCAGTTCAAACATCATTCGTCACTGATGTCAGCCGTGGCCAGGAGTCGAACTCGTGTCTCCGGGTTTATAGTGTAGTGCGCTCCTAACCTCTGTGCTACCATCGGCCGCTCCAACCAACCGTACATGTTTGTATAAACAATGTAACGGTAACTGCACACAAGTATTTTTTTGCTACAAAAGCCTCCAACCTAGCTACTACATAGAGGGATGCTTGGTTGTCTGAATTAACACCTGTCATTGTACCTCTATCCTTCTTACCCATGACATCAATAACGACAGTTTGTACAAAGCAATAACAGCCCCACAATAACATACGCACGCCCAGTGACGGATTGGGACAAACATTTTGTAAACACACAGCGGCCCAAATTGGCATGCGATCTTATTGGAGTATTTGGGCTGGTCCAAAAACACAAATGGGCCGGTGAGAAATAAAAAATGTTGGGCTGCCGAATATGAGAGTTATTGTCAACTGAGAGCATACATAAGCAATGCAGCGAACATATTAGAGTTAATTAAAAAAAATTCAACAAAAAAATATATTTTTTTACTTTGATCACATTTGAAATTTCCTCACACAAACCAGCTCACTGGCCTTCAAAATTTACCGGTCCTCTGGGCATTTGCCCGGACTGCTGCCCTATTGACCTCAGTCCGGGCCTGCGTGTGCCCATCCCTTTTGTCAGTCCACTGCTGGATGAAGGCCCCTTCAAGCCTCCGTCATCTCCCAGACGCATATCCCCAGCATTAGATAACTAATGAATACGAATGGTCTCTTAGCCGATTGGATGATCTCCAGATTAATTGTCCAATTACATAAATATATCATTCTACATTACTGTATTAAAATATTTGCTTGAGACTTCAGTTATCCTCCGCATATTCATATTATGGTTACGTACATACGCGTTGGGAGAGGCAGCGAGGCAGTGGTTAACGCATTGCACTTTAAACCCAGTGAGCTGATTTCGATTCCAGTCCGTGCCTAACATGAGTGACGAGTGATACATTGTCTCAGTCGGCCTTGGCCTGCCCCCATTCGTTCACCCACCCAAACGCACCAAGCATGGTGGCTTGCAAGTCCGATTAGCGCGGTTGGCTACGTACGTTGAGAAAGTAGGTCAACGTACATAATACATACGTACATGGTGAAGTATGGTCACTTGACGTCTTTGACACGGCATGGGGAGGTCTTCATCCAACAGTGGATTGATAAAGAGGCCGTACAAAGAACGTTCAAATGCACTTGTGGGTCAGTGCCATCATAGAAGCTATCAACTCTGGCTTCTGCATCTGAATGGATGTATTCCATTAACGTCAACACCAACACGTGGGTTGCCAATGGTTATTAATTATGTTTTTATGATCATGGCCCTTACTCAGACTGACCATTAATTAAACGGATGAACGTTTACACAACAGCTCCCTGACCTTTTGCCCACTAAAATACCGCATGCTCCCTCCACTGTAATAGAACAAACACTGCAATTATTCTCAACATTAATTCTAGCTCTGCATGACGGGAGGTCATTTTATTCTCTGTCACCCGAACGTTCAAATGCAACCTTTCCACGACAGTCCACGTCTCCAACTCTGTCTCTCACGTTTAAATCAAGACTAGGAACATATTTCTTTTTAATTGCACGTGCTTGAAATTACGAACCTCCGTCTACCTTTGCTCTTCACGTCATCCGTATTATCAATATTGGTTTATTCCCTACCTCGCCCCTTCTGCGTCATGTCAGAACAGCCTACATAGATCTTCTTCTTGGTTCTTTCGGTAAAGCCACGTACATGGGAAATTATAAAATTATAAAATTATAATAATAAAACATAATAAAATAATTCTCACGACGTTTCGGCCACAACGCAAGCAGCCGTCTTCCCGACAGACCTGTTCTTCACCTGAGGACGGCTGCTTGCGTTGTGGCCGAAAAGTCGTGAGAACTATTTTATTATGTAACATTTTTATTATTTTATTATCTCCCTTCTACGTGTCTTTACCGAAAGAACCAAGAAGATGAATCCCTGCAGTCACGAAAGCTTTAAATCGAAATTTACATAGATCTTATTTATTTTGCGTATCACCATCATCATCATCGACGACCATCGTATATTCACTTCTGGATGAAGGCGTTCCCAAGCGATCACCCGTTCTCACGGTCTCGTGACATCACAATCCATCGAGCTCCTGCACACAAGCTGCTTCCTTAGCTCCATCTCCCGAATCGGATGCCCTCTTAGGCGTGTTGCCTCCTCTGGCTGCGACATTGTTGTTCATGTTGACCGCTGGCCATCATCCCTTCTCGTGATGAGTCCTGCCCAAAGCCTGCTTATTTTTCTTAACAGTCAATATGATACTTTTTGGTTTTTTCGGTTGAGTCACGTGGGTAAATTTTTTTTCATAAATTAAAATGAAAACAAAGTAAATTAAATAACGACGTTTCGGAAGCAACACAAGCAACCGTCATCAGGTGTTGACTGCTCCAGCAAAAATTACTGAGGCGTCTGAAGAGAATTATTACGAGACAACATGTTTATATAGGGTGTTAGGGGGGGGGGGTCAAGAGGTCGGGGAGGGGGGAGGTCTGTGGCAAGCACCAAGCAGTGTGCACGGCTATCCACCGGATTAGCATGATTTAAGCCGATAGATAACCATCTTAATTTTTTTTACCTACGTGACTTTACCGAAAAAACCAAAGAGTATGGATCCTTGCAGTCACAAAAACTTCAAATCTAGAAATAGTCAATATGATGCCACTGACCTGCACACGTTATCGAATCCGTTGGGTCCCCTTCCTCTCTCTCAGTGTCATTCCAAGGGTGCACCCCAGGCCCTCCAAGGAACAACATTGCTTCGCGCAGCTTTGCATCGTACAATGCGAGGCATTACCTGGATATGCAGAATGGCGTCTCGAGGTCACGGTAAAAAGGATGAGACCAAATATCAAACAAGGAATGCTCAGACGTCATGGCAGTAAGCTGCAAGGCAATTTCGAAGAAGAAGAAAAAGAAAAAAAACTCCAGCACCACATTGCTCCAATATTTGCTCGCACGTGCACCGTGTCCTGACTTTTAGCCACCAGCCGCAATAACACTCGGGGCTGTTATTTACGTGCATGCCAACAACAGAGAGCATCAAGGGTGTTGTGGATGTCTGCCATAATTACTTGCAGCTGACTGTTAACTTCGTATGAACGTGCATTACGTGTTGTTTAGTTTGGGTTTTACACCCATTTTTTTTCCAGTTCATAGAGATGTCCCATTGACCAGAGTTAAACATCAACTCAAACGATATATTTTGGCTTTCGAATTTCATCGGCTAATGCTCATATTGCCAGATACAATTCTGGCATCTACTTCCAAACGTTTCCACGTAACGTTGCCCGCGCATGATCCAGAGCCTAATACAGCCTCACGTCCTTCTTTCACTTCACCTCGGCCCGTGTATACGGGAGGTGGCGAGGGTCTGCTCCTAATCTCTCGCCCTCTTTGCGACATCCTCCTGCCTTCGACCAACGCTCGCCATATCCTCCCAGATCTTGACTCTCCATCTCATCTCTGGTCTGCCCCTCGCTCTGTCTCTTGCCTACGCAATTCTAATCCAGGAGGTTGGGTTCTACCCCCGGCCCTCCTGAGCCGCCATAAACACGGCCGGACCGTTCGAGACGTTCTCCCCTTCAAGCGTTAGGACGCACAGAGCCCGTTGCTTGCGACCGAGGGTGGCCTTCTTCGACTCGGCATTGTGCCTAGCCCCAGTGTCGAGCCAATGAACGTCTTAATCTTGCCACAGAGACAATGCGTTGCGTGTAACACCGCAACTCCCACCCACCCCCCCCCCCCCCGCTTTATCCTCCTTTTATTTGGCACCAAAGGCATTCACAAAAGGTCAGCGTACCACATCATATTTTTATTATTTGCAAAATGCCATGCAACTGCACGAACAGCCGAGCATCATCACTGGCCAAGAGACCAGTTCCCCTGCAACACTGCCACATCACACCACTGCCACGAGAAAAAAAAAACTGCTCACAATTTGGCCACAATATTAACACAGCAACACAGCTTTACGTCAGTTATATATGTGTGTGTGTGCGTGCATGCACGCTCTGTGAGTGAATACAAACATTAAAAAATACTGTACTGTAGAATGGCATTGTTCTGCCTTGTAAAGAGGAAATGAGACATTGACAAATCTGCGTTGATTTTGTTGCAGAGCCAAGCCGGGCTAAGAGAGAAATGAGATGCTTTATTTATTTATTAAGAAACGCATTTATTAGATGGGGCAGAAACAATGTCATTTACTATATAAATATACAACATATTTACACATGTTACGATTTGCATTGGACATGACGATTTTTTTTTTCTGAGCAGCACAAACCCATCGATATTTGTTGATTACCACCAATTGGAATAAATGGCATAAATGCTTCAATTTGGGGCAGAATTTGTAAGGCTATGCTTGCACCTGTTTGGTTATGTAAGCCACTTTGGCATTGTAGGCCAGCGCAATAATAGACTATGATTTATATTCAAATGGCACCAAATGCCAGAGCATGTCGAGGCACTGCAGAGAAATCTTCTGAACTCTCAGAGAATCAACAAAAAAGGTTTCAATTTGTTGCAGTTGGCATTTCCACTCAACATTCAGACCCTGACGACTCTCGTGTAGCATATAAAGGCTGCCTGTCACCTTTTGTAGCCTGGGGGGGCCACGGCACTTGACTGCGAGTTGCGTACAACAGGCACCCGTGGTTAATTTTACACAACCTCGTGTGATGTGATTCTGACCCGTGTCCGTCAGTATGACTCGTCACTTCCATTTGTCCAGGAAGGGTGAACTTCGGAGCTTGCGGATCTTCTCATCCCGTTTTTCTACATCGACCAATTGTCAGGGCTCACTTTTAAAGCGGAGCACCTATGAAGGCCGGCGTGGCGCACGAGGGGTGGGGGGGGGGGGGCAACGCCACGCCCGACCGGGGGAAGTCTCCCCAGTGGGGGAGTTTACACACCACACTGTGTACTCATTTGAGGCTGAGTCGACCTAGGGGAGGCCCATGACCGGTTCAGATAATCGTCACTGGTGTTGGCCGCGAGTGGGAATCAAACTGTGGTCGCTGGGCTCGTAGCGCAGCGCGCTAAACGCTACGCTAGCGCTGCCCACGAAATCGGATAATGAGCATTTCCACATGCATCTGCTGGATCTTTATCCTTGACAAGTAGTGGGTGTGTAACGATTTGCCTCCTCGGTGATTTTGGGTGACGATTCATTTCAAGAATGTCTTTTTTTGCCCAAGTGTTTTTTGCCACGTGGTTTAAATTTTTTATTGAAAAAAAACTTGTTTGCACAATCCTTCGTTAGTTCTATTAGCCTAAATGCAACATTACCATACAATTAACATATGATATGCGTGATATACAATTTCCTAATTTGATGCATTTAACGAGGACCTAAGAATGCATTTTAATCCATTAATCACTGCATTTATTGCACGCCTACATTTTTTAAAATTGTTTTTCACTGCAGAAGTACGCTATTTACCAATATCTGCCTCGTGAAAAATAAATAATAGTAAATATTTTCAAAATAAAAATGCAGCCTTGCAAAAGTAACTTTAAACCACGTGTTTGTTTATGTCCGAGCTGCCAAGCACGGAGTGTACATGTACATTCATACACGCAGACAGGCGCGTGCGCTTACAGGCACATCCACATTGGACAGTCAAAACATTTTGGGAACAAGATAATGTACTAATAATAGCCTCGGCTGCAAAATAAAGTGTTGGCCTCTCTCATTGCCACACACTGTGATTTGTGCAGTAGACATCATGCACTGCTGCCACATTACATCCATACCACTTGAATGGAATCACAAAGGTGGAACGCACAGCAACAACTACTTCAACAAAAATAATAACCGAAACGTTATCGATAAACCTGCACGTATATTTTAATTCCCAACTTTATAAACGAAATTGACCGGCGGTCGCAAGATGCCCCCGACGTATCGCTTCGCTGTCTCGGCGGCTAATGTCGGCCGTGACAAGTCACTTCAATAACATTCCGACCAAACACGCTCGCATGCTATCACGTCGGTAGTTTTTTTTAAAGAGCTGAGCAGCGAATAATTTCAGGGGGCTGTGCAATTTTCGGCACCATTGGGAAAAGGTCAGGTCAGCGTTAGCAGCTGCCTCGTGGCGCGGAACGATGCAATGTGCTAAAGACAAGTAGCAGCGCGATTCAAGCGAGTATAAAATGGCCCCCGAAACCTGTTGCACATGACAAGACAATGATTTGATACAATTGTTGCGCTGCCCAATTGATGAAGCGCTCACGTCTATAAAGCTCAGTGGTTGTGTAATTATTGCGGGGATAGAACTCGTGCCGAACTCTTTCACATCGCTTCACGCAGCCACTAGGCCACACGTTTCTGCCAGCCGCGACCTTTATTATTGAAACATATGAAATGAAATACTGTACAAAATACTCGAAATTTCCCACGTCGTTTTCGGCCAGACAAAATTATTCCTTAAAGTTGTACAAGATTTATAATGTTCTAGATATGTGAATAAATATTAATTGTATTAATTTACAGCCCTTTGTCAATCCGCTGCTCGGTGAAAATCTCCCTACGCCGTATAAGTCATGGAGGTTTTTATTTACCATACTTCACCATTCTGGTTAGTGTGGGCTTGCGAAGGAGGGCACCCCAAGACCTGATCAGACATCACTCACCACTGATATTGTCCAAAGGCAGGAATAAAGCTCAGACCGCTGGGCTATTAGCACAATGTGCTAAACCACTGCACCCACCCCCACCCCCCCTTCCCCACCTCCACCGATATGTGTATATATAATGATTTAATAATGAATTGTATTTTGATTGGGGGGTCATAAATAAGGCCATGTGCAAAACATCTGTTATTTTGCAAAACATGTCATTCGCACAATGATGCTCGTATTACATAAATAGCCGATGGGCTATATTCATACTTACTAACATACATTAGGTGACTGTGTCAGACGCTTCGGTGCTTTTCTGATCAGAAACAAAGATCAAACACCACGTCGTTAAAGTGCATCGTGATATATTTTGGAGAAGAAGAAAAACTACATCCCACCTCCCCCCCCCACCCCGAGTACCGTACGGCAGTCTCGCGTGGTGTGGCTCGGCATTGTATCTCATTAATACCACAGCCCGTCATATATTAGGGAAATTCCTTCATATCTGCGCAAGACTTGCTCCACCGCAGGAATGGTAATTGAAAGCAAGCAGCCAGTGACCAAGCCACAATTCGTTTTGGCCACATATTGAGTCCGCGCACGCGCGAATGTAGAGCATGTCAAATGTATGTCTGATAACCACTTGTGGGCGGCCGTGGTATAACTTCATGCGCATCCATTATGCTCGAATGATGTGACCCGAATCGCAATGTTGCAGTTTCAGCTCCGACACGGAGGCGCAAAAAGACGAAGATCCCCCGTCTAACCTTAACAGGCTGTTTGGGCATGTGCTGTTCACGATCACCTATGAAGGGGGTGGGTGGCCAGCACCACGCCCGACCGCCTTTTTCTTCCCATTGGCAATGTTTTCACACACCGCGCCAACGTACTCATTTGAGGCTGAGTCGACTGAGGGGAGGCCCAGGACTGCTTCAGATAATCACCACTGGTGTTGGCCGTGAGTAGGAATCGAACTGGGGTCCCTAGCGTGTTAACCGCTGCACAACCACTCCCCACACGCACAAGCACGCACGCACGCACGGACACGCCCTTAAAAGGTGGAGAATTTTCACCTGCAGTGCAGCGGGTTACCACTAAATTCCAGGAAAAGATACACAGGTATGCCGAATACGTTCTTGTTATGCCAAACCCTGTATATACAGTACAATCTCCGGCATAGCCAAAACAGCTACATTAGACCGTCACACGTGTTCCTAACATCTATCACCCTGATCGTTCCCCAAGTTATCACGTGCTGCGAACGCTTGGAAATCGGCCATAAGACACAAGCAATTACATTTCGTGGCCCAAGGTGAAGGCGCGGTGCTCTGCGTATGGCCCCTCTTCAAAGTCCATCGTCACCCAGCGTTACACTGAACTTCAGCTACACGCAGTACACCGCAGGGACATTGGACCTCCACAGCTCCGTGTGACGGTCGGCCAGCCGTCCGGCCGGGCCCACTTTTGTCGGACCGAACGGTGCCGTGCACTTCAGGCCACCTTCAGTAAATCGTGTTCCCCACCGATGCCACGGCCGGCAGTGGCTCGGCGCGTTCCGCGCAGGACCGGTAACTCCCGGTCAGGTACGTGGTGGTGGAGCAGGCCGACACGGCCACGTCCCGGCAACCCACGTACACCCCCGGGCGCGTGTGAGTGCGCGCGAGCTGCGACTGAGTCCTACTCCCCAGCTGCTGCTGCTGCTGCTGGACATGATGACGGTTGGGGTGGAGGTGCTGCGGGTGCAGGTTGCGGCGTGACGTGCACGCCACTCCAACGTTGCGCTGCTGCTGCTGCCGCCGCTGCCCCTTCTCGTCCCCGTCCATGGGCTGAAGCTGGATGACGGCCTGCAGGTCGTCGACTTCGGGCTCGGGCCGGCAGGTGCCCGAGAAGGGTCGCAGGTGGCAGGTGTGCGTGGTGGCGGTGGGCGGCGAGGAAGGGGCTCGCCAGAAGACCTGGCGGAGCGCCTGGCGGTAGTCGCGCCGGAGCAGGCAGTAGAGCAGCGGGTTGAGGCAGCTGTTGGCGTGCGCCAGGCACACGGTGACGGGGAACACGTACACGTGCGCCGTGTAGAAGGCGTCTCCGAAGGGCACGGCGCCCAACTTGACGAAGATGCCCCAGAGCGTGATGGCGTGGTTGGGCAGCCAGCACACGAAGAAGGACAGCACCACGACGGTGACGGAGCGCGTGACGCGCGACCGCCGGCCGGTCCGCTGGGCCCCCGCGGGGTTTTTGTGGCGCAGAAATCTCAGCAGCTGCAGGTAGCACGCCGAGATGATGACCAGGGGCAGCAGGAAGCCGAGCAGGATCTTCTGCACGTGGTATACGCCCAGCCAGAACTGGCCCTCGGGGAAGCGCAGCAGGCAGAGCGGCACGCCCGACACCGTGGGGGCCGTGGAGAACACGGCGGTGGGCACGCTGGCCGCGGTGGCCGCCAGCCACACGACGAGGCTGATCCAGCGCGGGGAGCAGCCGGTGGGACGCGGCCGCGAGTGCACCGCCGAGGCGATGGCCCAGTAGCGCACGACGCTCATGGCCGTGAGGAAGGAGACGCTGGCGTACATGTTGAGCACGGTGAGCGAGGACACGAGGCGGCAGAGCGCGTCGCCGAAGGGCCAGTTGAAGTCGAGCGCCGTCTCGACGGCCCAGAAGGGCAGCACGAGCACAAACTGAAAGTCGGTGATGGCCAGGTTGACGACGAAGTAGTTGATCGTGGACTTCTTGCGCGCCTGCTTGTTGCGCATCACGTAGAAGACGAGCAGGTTGCCCACGAGCCCCACGGCGCACACGACGGAGTAGACGAGCGAGATGATGATGCGCAGAGCCGGCGACCCGTCGACGGGCACCTCGGACTCGAACTCGTCGCTGCAGTTGTCGGGCGGGCGGTGTCCGAGCGACGCGTTGCTGCTGTTGGCGCCGTCGAGGGTCGCCGAGAGAAGCTCCCGGCACAGGGAGATGAGCAGGGACCTTGGCAGCGGGGGTTCGGTGACTGCGCTCATCTCGGGCCCTGAGGTCACGCTCATCCTCTCCGCCCTCCCCGCGCCGGTGCTTTAATTGGAGCACGCGGAGCAGCTTTCATGCAATCAGGGACGGGAATACCCCCCCTCCCCCACGCGACTGGCAAGAGACAGCCCTGGCAGCGGTCGCCTGTGGAACGGCACGAGAGGGAATGGTTGAGCAACAGAGACATATCATGCGGGCCCTGAGAGTATCCCCAAAATGTTTTTTTTTTGCTTTGTGCGATATTGTTTTTGGAGCGTGAGATTTGTTTGGTAACAGATTATGTGTTCTGGTACGTCCTTCGGAGTATATGACGAATGTTTTTGCCTGGCGGAAGAAAACAACAGACCATGATCTGAACGAGATGTGACATTCCCCATGCAAGCTGTATGTTCATCCAGCATCTGCTTAATCTTCTGTGCCATGCTGGGGTTTTTTTGTTCTTGTTATATTACACATACACAATAAACAGCTACATTTTTATGTAATATTTTAATCGCTTTCTTAAATCTCCGAAAGATTATTGCAGTCTGTAGTAGATTTTAACCATATTAATAACAACTATACATCACAATAGTAAGAACTTGGAGTTTAATTGCTGATGAAAAGCTTTAATTCCAGCTCCCTCACATTGCAGTTGACAATTTGTTCCGAAATTTTTCTGAGACATGCCACCTTGTAATATTTAGCAGCACTGAAATTGCAATTTAGAGGTGGCCGATTTGGTTCAATTCCCGCAGCGTGGGGGCCACGGTGGCTAGGATATGTTAATCACCTCGCCTAATATGCAGGAGGTCGTGGGTTCGATCCCGACCATGACGCCTGTACATTTGGAGTTTGCAAATCTCTCTTCCCATGGTCGCGTAGATTTTTCTCCGGGTCCTCCGGATTTGCCCTCCACATTTAGAAACACGCGTTTAAAGTATTTGGCTGCTATAAATTTCCACATGATAAGCCACTTTATTGGGCTATCAATTGTGGCCAGGTCGCTTCTGAAAAAGAGCTATATTATTCAGTCGGCCTTACCTGGTAAAATAATAAAAAATAGTTTAGTTTGTCGTTTATTTGAAACGATAGTTACATTTCCCAGAATTCCCCCGGGACTCTGTGTATCCGTGAGTGTAAATGGGTGCACAGCAATGAGTTGATCGGTAAGATCGCCTTTGGTGGGGTAAAGCGTGAATATTCCCACGTTTTACAGAAATTATGGCTAGTATGGAAGAGTAGGCCAAATACCTTCTAGAGCTCCCTCTCGTGGAGCCCCTCCACCAGCAGTGGCTTGAGCGAGCAATTGTAGGGTCGCTCCTTTACCTATAATCCTTTGAATCCATCGGCAGCTGTGCATCAAATGCTTCACAAATCTTTGCCGTCTATCGCAGCAAAATATAATTCTCGTCCACGGCCAGATATTTCTCTTATTTAGATATACATTCAGCATTTTCGATGCATTTTCAATGCTGAATGTAGATCAAATTAAAATGACTCAGAATGTATGTATGTTGAACTTATTTTGTACCGTACATAGAGGTTGCACCTCCAATTAACACGGTTGGCTACGTACGGTGCGAAAGAAGTTCAAAATGCAACATACATACATAATCGGAGGTGCGAGGGAAGGATCAGAAACTAAACACAAAAAGTAGTTCGAAAGAAATTTGTTTTCAATCTAAATTTGAATGTGCATAGCTCCAGTGGTTTCCTAATATCGGAAGGAAGAGCGTTCCAGACGGTCGCAGAAGCGTAACTGAAGCGCGCGATGCAGTAACCGTCTTTGTTCGATGGTAAGCCAAAAGCCGCTGCTGTGAGGATGACCGGACACACAATGTGTAAACCAATATTCTCCCATACTCGTTGGGTCTTTCGATAAAGTCACGTGGATAATCTCCATGACTTTACCGAAATACCCAAAGAGTATGAATTCCTGCAGTCACGAAAGCTTTAAATCAAGATTCAATATTCTCCCATTAAAAACCAACACGCACAAAATATTTTTATGGAAATGTTCTTTCCTCGACGTGAAAAACCACAATTTTATGGATTATGCCAGGCATCTCAAATGTCTACACTTGGTGAGACGTAACAAAGGGTTCGCGAAAAAAAATATTCTGCAAGTGTGGAGTAAAATACCACAGTTTTTTTTCTTTCATATAGGTACTGTATATTGCAGCTTTATCAGCAGAGAACCCCAAACAGTGCGTGGGTACAAGCAAGCTGTCTTCATTTCTACATTCTCAGCAGTGGCTAAGGAAGAGGTGGATTTGGACATTTCTTCAGCAAACCATGAAAGGATAAATTAATGTTTGCCAAATTATTCAGAGGGCCTTTACCCTCAGATGGTATTTTTTCAAAGTATTGCCCTTTATCGCTGATCTTATCTGCTTGTAAACGTTGACCAAATCACCTGAAATACGTTCAATCTCATCAGATCTCAGTAGCTAAGCATGGTTGAGCGTGGATCTAGTGCTTGGATGGGTGACCAACATGTCCCAAAGGCAGGCGTTATATAGGCGTCATGGGCAGCAGAGGGCAGTTTTTTTCTGCCCTGCCCCCACCTACCTCACCTCGCACTGACCAGCATGGTGAAGTATGATCATATAATGCTAACAGCCCACAATGTGTGGGGATGCATTCATCCAGCAGTGGACTGACATAAACAAAAACAGGCTGGACGTGTACACATTTTGTTATCATTTAAATTTGGTAGTGTTTTATCCTTGCTCCGTTTGTATCTGTTGACCATCTGGCTTGCCCCAATTAAATTACGCAAGCACATTTGAACCGCGTATATCGCTGAAATACATAAAATAATTTCACGCGATGAAAAATATCGTTCTGCTCACGGGTTAATTTTTTGTTGAGTCTGTAAATATATATATACCATACGTGTGTCAGCACGCATCTACGTTTATAAAGAACATACAGATCAGCTGCAGAGACAGTAAATCAAATCCGATGCATGTGAAAAATGACTCGAAAAATGAGAGCCGTCATTCAAAAATGGGTACACTATTTCACGATTAACTCATTCGTAGAAATGTCTATTTAACAAAAAAATCTACTCCTTGAGATCTGGCTGTCTGCAAAGAAAAACAATAACATCAATTTATAGTCTGACAGGTAAAGCACAAATTATAGAAATCGGCCAAAAACTTGTCTCGTAACGGTCACACCAAAAACACGACTCACCTCGCGTCGGTGATCGATGCGGTGGCTTCCCTTCAGATCCACACGTCGCCGCTACGGACAGCAAAGGGCTTTTCACAAACACTTCCTTGAGGGAAAAAAAGAAACCGATAACACCCCGAGGCTTAGCAACCAGAACAATTAGGCACGCGAATACCATGGATTTGACCAGCGGAGGGATCTGCTTTTGCAGTAATTGGTAAACGCAACAAAAAAATGCATGCCTCGCCACTCAAACATTCGCAACAATTCCAATTTCTTCGCAATATTCTAAAGGGCGTCGGGGGTCTTTATATTCGGACGCGCAGTTTTTCCCAACAAAAGCGGCGGAAGGAAGGCTTCGCGTAATCATTCAGCTCCCGTGGCGACTCTGTCGCGCGTTCATCCCTCGTTGCCTCGCGTCGCTCGGAAGGCGGAGAGAGAAAGGGGGGCGGCGGGCGGGGCGGGGGGCTCGGGGAGCCGATCTCTCGCTCGTCGCCTCGGTTGCTGTGGAGCTGCGCTTGGTGCTTCGCGTGCCTTTATAGGCGGCCAGCGTGCCTCTGACGCCCCCGTTGCTCTCGGTGTGTCCGAGCTGAAGTTCCCAAACGCGCTGCGCTGCTGCATCAGAGGAGCACGCGCGTTCTGTTCATTTATTCTGACCGGCCAGTTACGCCGATTTCTGTCGTCTTCGTGCAAATTATCATTGGGGGTTTTTTTTTTTTTTACGCCCACACTTTTGAAAATTACGTCAACTCAGTTGGTGATTTTTTTTTTATTCCTTGAAACTTGAATCCTACAGTTTTTCTGATTTAATTTAGTTGATTAAAGGCAAGTTTCATCGATGTTTTTTCTCCCCCTTGTCTGTTGCCATCAGGCTCATCCAGCGTGGATGAAGTATGATTATATATTCTCCACGGCCCACAAGGTGTGTGGAATTTCTTATCAAGCAGTGGATTGACAAAAAGACTGGACATCTTAAAATAAATTGACCGGCAGACTCATTTTACTTTCAAAAGGTGAAGGTGTAGCCCTGCATTTGCATGCTTTCGCAAATTGCAGTAAACGGGCTGATACTTATGTAAGATCTAAGAGAACTCCTTCTCATACATTAAATGCACGCTGGTCAGATGTCTTGGGAGAGACTGAATTATCCAGACCTTACCCCGACACCTGCGATCAACTCTCTGCCGTGGGGTGGATAGACGTGGAGGGATTGGAGGAGGCTCTCTCCAAAATACTCCCCCAAAATGACCTTCCATTTAATCAGAGTTAATTTTTTGGCTGGTAAGAACTTACCTACATGGGCAATTATAGGCCTACATAGGCAATTTTACAAGGTCAACCCGGTCAAGATGGCCATGAAAGTAAAACCGAGTAATGATCAATCATAAGATTACCACAGTCTACTTCGTCCGTTGGAAAGGAGTGGCTTTGATAAGAATAGGGGTTTCCCCTTTTTTTCTGGCAACACAATTGAAACCTTTTTACAAGGAATCATGTCTGCATTAACCACAATACTTGTGGTCAGAATGCAAACAAAAAAATGAGTCCGATAATATATTGGCATTGTCTTTGAAACTGATTGGTCCACACCAAAGTCTAGTCTCAAATGGTGTTAGACCTCTGAGACTAGGCTCCAAAGAAAGCTGTCTCTGGTGTGGACCAATAAGTTTAAAAAGACTGCATATATTATCACTGTTTTTTGTTTGCATTCTGATATCAAGTACCGTGGTTAATGTAGACATGATTCCTTGTAAAAATGTTTAAGTTTTGTTGCCAAAAAAAAGGGGGAAAACCTATTCTTATATTTTGGTACTGGCAGAGGAGGTCTCATGATGGAGTGGGTTTTAGTTTGGATTGATTCTTAAGTAGCCCTCAGTCATTGGTAAACTCCCATTTGAAAACCCGGTGGAACGCTGTACGTATGCATATGCTGTACACGGTAGCTACGTGGCAGGCTGCAGTCGGCAGTGCAGCAAAATCCACTGTTCAACTCTGCTTCTGTGCTCCAACTTCTACGCTTCCTGCTTTCAACAGCTAACACTGACCAGCGTGGGGAAGTATAGTCACATAACAGGCCTCGCTGCATGGGAAAGCCCTCATCTAGCATGGCGAAGTATGGTCAAATCACCCCCACAAACCGCACGGTGTGGGGAGGCCATCATCCAGCAGTGGATCCACAAAAAGCCGTACAGGTACGCATGTAGAAGTGTATTCATAACAACAACAACAACAACACGACACTTGAATCTAATGAAATGGGTCACTGTTCGCGAAACATGGCCAGGCAAGTAAGTGTGAAATCACCCTCCCCAGTTTTAACCTGTGTCCTTCGCGAATCGGGGCGGCCGGGTTTCTCGTTCTCGAATCTATTTGGCTGTACCATGGGTGGAAAAAACCCGATTTTTCCAGCGGCAGGCTTCGGGTTTTTAATTTAATACAATTAAACCCGATTTCGGGAAATAAAACCTGGTTTAATGAATACGAAACTCTGATAGGCGTGGGCTGCTTCCTCGTCGGTGCTGCTATCGTACTCGGGGCCGTCGGGCACGGGGTAGTCGTAGAATGCGGCGGGCAGGTTGGTCTTGATGAACACGAGCTTCTCCTCCACAATCGTGGGCGCCAGTGAGTTCCATAGCTTGTAATGGATGAAGCCCATCGTTGATAAGTGCGGTTCTGCAATTAGAACCAATTAAACCGGATTTCTCCCAATCTCAGATGATCGGGTTTAATATAAAAAGACAATTAAACCCGATTATAAAAAAAACCCGACTGTGCCACCCTTGGGCTGTACCCACGTGGCAGCTCGCACGAAAAGGGGGTAATCTGGGATCTGTGGTTCCACCAACCAGGTCCACATACCGGCTCCGTTATCTCGCAGATAACGACATCGCAGAACGGAGGCTTCACCTCGAGCGCACGGTCATACATACACATTGGATTATATTGCTATAGAGGCAAGGTTGTAGATCATAGTCCTTTATTTAATCAGGTGAATGTCTGTAAAGTGTTTCCGCCGCACTGCTTCATGGTTACACGCAGCCACGTTCTAAGCAAGCACACTGGAACACGAGTGTAAGGCAATGGTCTGATTCGCATCTCGGCAGTGTTTTATTTTCCGTGAGCTCCAACTGCCTAAATGTAAGTTGCGCAATGTCGTCACCCGTAAATGTGTCTTTTTAAAATCGATTCTCTCGAGCACAATTCGAACAATGCATTTGCGAGAATAGGAAGCAATGTCAACCTTCGAATCAATGCATCGTTAGCAAAGTATAGCTGCTGATCACGCACCAAGATGTCTAGTTTACCGTGGGCTGCCGATCACATAGACCCAGGTGGGACGAAAGGCAGATCGAACCCTGGGACTGGATTTGAACCCATAGACCCTTGCGATCTCAAGTCGTCCGATCCTTCCCCATTGAGAGACAAACCGTGCGTAGAGCACGCGGGCTCAGCTGAAGGTTAAATTTCGATTTAAAGCTTCTTTCGTGACTGCAGGGATTCATCTTCTTGGTCCTTTCGGTAAAGTCACGTAGAAGGAAAAATAATAAAATAATAAAAATAAAACATAATAAAATAATTCTCACGACGTTTCGGCCACAACGCAAGCAGCCGTCTTCAGGTGAAGAACAGGTCTGTCAAGTAGACAGAGTCTGAATGTTATGTTTTATTTTTATTATTTTATTATTTTCCTTCTACGTGACTTTACCGAAAGAACCAAGAAGCTCGGCTGAAGGTTGCTCGCGCTACGCGCGCGGGTAACGGGGTCACCCCTTTCTTTCATCAAGAGTGGAGGTGTGTGTGTGTGTATGGGTCTCGCTGAGATTTCGGCACCGCTTAGCTTTTCATTTTGCGGG